GAAAACAATTTTGGTGAGATTCCAGATGTGTGTGAATGGCCTGCAAACCTGAAATACCTGAATCTCTCCAGCACTCAAATTCCCAAATTAACACGTTGCATTCCCGCAACTCTTGAAGTGCTGGACGTTAGTGCTAACAACCTGCAGGATTTTGGTCTGCAACTGCCAAATCTGAAGGAGCTGTACCTGACAGAAAACCATCTGAAGACCTTGCCCGAAGCTGCAGGCATTCCTAACTTAGTGGCCATGTCGATCAGCAGAAACAAGCTCAACAGCTTCTCCAAGGAAGAGTTTGAGTCCTTCAAGCAAATGGAGCTGCTGGATGCCAGCGCCAACAACTTCATTTGCTCGTGCGAATTCCTCTCCTTCCTTCAGCGTGAGGCAGGGATAACCCAGGCGCTTGTGGGGTGGCCAGAAAGCTACATCTGCGACTCTCCGCTGGCGGTGCGAGGGGCACAGGTTGGGAGCGTGAGGCTGTCGCTGATGGAGTGCCACCGGTCCTTCCTGGTGTCTTTGATCTGCATTCTGACGTTCCTGTTCATCCTGATCCTGGTGGTCATTGGGTACAAGTACCATGCGGTCTGGTACATGAGAATGACCTGGGCATGGCTCCAAGCCAAGCGGAAGCCCAAGCGAGCCCCCGCGAAAGACGTCTGCTACGACGCCTTTGTCTCCTACAGTGAGAACGACTCCAACTGGGTGGAAAACATCATGGTGCAGCAGCTGGAGCAGGCGTGTCCACCCTTTAGGCTGTGCCTCCATAAGCGGGACTTTGTGCCCGGGAAGTGGATTGTGGACAACATCATCGACTCCATCGAGAAGAGCCACAAGACGCTCTTTGTGCTGTCGGAGCACTTTGTGCAGAGCGAGTGGTGCAAGTACGAGCTGGATTTCTCGCACTTTCGCCTCTTTGACGAGAACAACGACGCGGCGATCCTCCTCCTGCTGGAGCCCATTCAGAGCCAGGCGATCCCCAAGAGGTTCTGCAAGCTGCGCAAGATAATGAACACCAAGACCTACCTGGAGTGGCCTCCTGATGAAGAGCAACAGCAGATGTTTTGGGAGAACTTGAAAGCAGCTCTCAAAGCCTAGATAGGATCATTAAAAACTGAGTCCCTAGCCATCCTCTTCTGGATTTATTTCCATTGCCTTTTTGTGCCTTTATCTAGCTGTATCTAACAGAGGTCTGAGCTACTGTAATTGCTGTTACATGCTTTGAAATTGTACTATTCTTGTCTCTGTGATCGTGACTTTTCTAAGCATTTTAATCAGCATTCTTACCTAAAGCAGTTTTGTTTAAAGATTTGCTGTTGAAAAGTTTTTTAGATACACAACGTCTATTTTATATAGCTTTATCTTTGCAAAACCTTTACATGAGAGCCTGCTTAGCCTAGGTTTAACCACTTCAATTGCATGCTAATGTAAGACAGTTTATGCAGCAAGGATTTTCCTCCTAGCTCCATACTGAGTAGATCTAAGGACTGATTCTCAATAGTATTTCATGATCGTGGTAAGTTAAATGTCAAAATCTTCTAAAAATCATAGCTGCAAACTTTAATCTACATACGTGCTTTCACACTGTGATGCTTGTTCTTTCTTAGTGAAGAGATGCTTCAGAGGGGGATCCAAACACTTTTTTGACTTGCTTAAGTGTAGTTGTTGAAGTGCTCACCTGAAGTGTGTCAACACAATACCAATGTAGTCTTTGATTTCAAGACCATACACTTCTCTCTGATCCACCAGCCCAAAGTGGGTGTTCCTCACCTTTTTTTCTCTGCAACTTAGTCCACAAAACCAGAGCAGCTGAAAACTCTCCCACCTCAAACACTGTTGATGAGCTCATGTTATCTTAGGAAGATGGCTGGGACAAGGATTGTAACTGCTGAAGAAGTGGAGTAAGCAGAGACACCACCACCAAGCTCTTCCTTCAGATGTCATCCGAAAATGAAGGGGAGTCTCAGGTGGCGCCTGTCCTGGAGATGCAGAGAGTTTCAGCCGACCCTTAACAGCTTGAATCTGGTCAGCCTAATAACTAACTGTCTACTTGATCAGGTCAGTGTTTAGGCATAATGTTCTTGGGACTGACATTTGCAGGTATGCACAGAAGCAAATCTTGAAAGGCTTCCCATGGAAATGTTTACAGTACTTATTACTTTATCTGGGATTAGATGATAGAATCATGATCAGCTTGAGTTGGAAGGGAGCTTAAGGACCACCTAGTTCCAAAGCTCTGCCATAGTGAGGAATACCTTCCAGTAGGAAAGGCTGCTCACAGTCCTATCCAACCTGGCATCCACAGCTTCTCTGGGCAGCCTGTGCCAATGCCTTGCTGTTCTCTGAGTAAAGAATTCCTTCCTAACACTTAATCTAATTCTAC